GGGGGGCAGGCAGTGTGTATCCACACATGTGGCACAGACACCTCAATCAAATCACCATGGAATGTGGAGATGTTGATTGTCCAAGACAGGATGTGAGGTGTGAAAGTGGTGGTAACACCTCTGATCTACTCTAGGGATTATGTAACTAGTAGGGATGCACCGAAGCCGTTTTTTCGGTATCGAGTACTGATATTTTTTTTTTTCAGTACTCGCCAATACCGATACCGGACGTCCCATTAAGGAAGCCAGGCGGCATGTAAAGACTCGCCACCTGGCTTCCCGATTAGCAGGGAAGCAGTCTCCATGCTTCTTGTCACTAGGGGACGATAAAGCATGGAGCCGTCTTTCTGCCCGATCAGGAAGCCGGGCGCCGTGTAATGACGTGGCACCCCGCTTCCTGATTGGCTGGGAAGCCGGCTCCATGCTCCCTCATCACAAGTGACGAGGAGCATGGAGCCGGCTTCCCGGCCAATTGGGAAGCCGGGCAGCGTGTAATGACTCGCTGCCCGGCTTCCTGATACCGAAAGCTCAACTATCAGGCTGGGTAGCGGAGCATTTGGGCGAGTACCCGCCCAAATACTTGGCACCGATACTACTATCGCTATCGGTGCATCCCTAGTAACTAGAACAGGGTGCATTCCATGGTGCTTAGATCAAGAAGATCTATACTACCTATGTATGCTGGGGCATGGGTAGCCAATGCACATTTTAAAGTGACAGTTGGTGCCTAAATTGTGAGGTGTTCTCTAGTTGCTAATGGAGCTAGTTCCAGGATTGGTCAGACTGGTTCCTGTATCCATATTCATTTGCCCGTCTGTGTTGGGGAATCTTCCTGACACTTATTAGAGCTGAAGAAGTGGCTTGGAGAAGCTCCAAAACCATCTTCAGCGTTACAAAACAAGTCCAGCTGATTGTGACCAACCATTACTAGCTACAAGCATTGGTTTCGTCCATCGCTAATCTAGAAATACACATGTATGCCTCCCACCCCAGTGAGCTGTGTAGGGGCTAAAAGCGACAACCTTTCTACAGTAAGATTGCACAGCTGTAGTAGATGGCAGCCTGGTCCTTCTCAGTACCAATTCTCTTGTCTGCCTGCTATTTGCATAATCTGGATCTAACACAAAGATCTCCATGCTAGACACTATTCCACATGGAAATGCTTGCAGATTGTCTCTTTTTAAAGTGTATATCGGAGTAAACAAATGATGCCGTACATCTCTGCATTATGGAAGCAGATAAGAAAGTTGGTTGTGAGACATGAAGTCCTCTTCTGCCCTGTAATGCCCCCCAGTAGCCAGATCTGGAGTACACCCCACTGGTGCTTCACTTACCAGTGGTCATGCTACAGCACCGAGGTTGGGTTTTTCATGCTGTCAGCTGACGCGGTCACCCAACACCTTCAATAGGACAGAAACGTGGCTGAGCAAATTTACTTTCCTCGCTGTTGTTACGACTGCGGCGTGTACCTTTCTGCAGTCTGCCGGGGTCTGTACTGTCTGTTTACTCACGAGCATCGCTAACTCTACATTCCTCATACCGCCCATGTGTGAATGCATGATATGATTACTATAGCGCGCTGCAATCTTTTTTTTGAATCTCTTTTGCATTTTAAAAACACGTGAAAGTGTAACTAGTTTTTTTTATTGTTATTAGCCATGTATATAAGAAAGTGAGCTGCTTGATGTAAATAAGCTTACCCATCTAGGTTGAGATGCATCTCAAGCCATGTTACATATTCTTTAATGAAAGGTCAGCTTTAAAATGTAGGATTACTCTATTTTCTGGACTCCTTCAGCCCCCCCCCCTTTCCCAGGGATTCCTTGTTAGCGGATCCATTCCTCCTTCCGTGGCACTTCATTAATGATCTATGCACTAATAGATGCAATTGCACGATACTTTTCTAAAGCGATTGGTGTGCAGGCAACGTATGTCTCCTTGTTGAACATGGTGCTATCCATTGGTAGCTTCAGTATCCTGCAACAAGGTTCATTTCTGGGCTGTTATGCCATAGGGATATCTCTGTATTATTCTGTCTCTACCCAACCAACACCCCCCCACCACCACCAGGCATTCCATGGTGGTAGACTCAACACTCCTTGTCATCTGATCCATCCTTCCCCACCCACCCCTCTTCCCCCCAAACTCCTGGTCAGCTGACCTGTCCCTCCTTACTCCCTGAACTCTCCTTCCTCCCTGGCACTCATTGTCACCTTACTTGGCTCTCCTTTCCCATTCTGCTTTACGTGGGTACACGGACAATACTGTTTGTCATTGTTAATATTTTATTTTTTTCTTCTAGTTGGGAAAACATCTCTAATCACAAGGTTCATGTACGACAGCTTTGACAACACCTACCAGGTAACCCAGCATGCCATTTTACTTCTTTGCCATCTGCCAGTTGTGCCCACACTTCTGACTTGTGTGTTTTTATAAGGGTATCTACAGACAAGAGCTAACAGTTGCCTCATTACGTTGTTGGCCAATAACCTATGGGTGGCCCCTGACCTGTCCCAATGCAGTCTGAGGGAAAGGTCTGAAACGATCATCATTGATCACAACAAATTTGGTTTCATACAACACGTGCTGGAAGCTTCCAGAACCTGCTGTAGGTTCACATTAAAGGGTTGACAGGCTGCCGAGATTCTTCTTCCATGGAAAGCAAGAGGGAAAACATTTCTGATTTCTGTGCCTCTGTTGTGAACTTTGGATATTCATTTCTCCTCAATGCCTGTAGCTACAGAGGTGATGGAGGGGCTTGTTTTAAATTGCCTTTATGGACAAGGGGATCTTATTTTCTGGAGATGTCTGATACTGGTCTGATGTGTTTGATATCATCAGTCATTTCGACTTGATTTTTCTTTCTGGACCAGACATGGGTCTCCTGGGAATTTTTGAACTTCCCATTGATGACACGCACCTAGATATGGTGATAACCATAAAGACTAAACCAAACTGGGAAACTATTGTACAACGCTGGCCTTAGTGATGTGCGGAGACTTGGTGCGAACCCAGTTCGCCAGAGTTCATGCAAGACTGTGACTGACACCCCTGCCGGCCCAAGCAGTTGTGGAGGGGCATTCCCCACCCCTTTGTGACATCTAGTTGCAGGGTGGGCAGTGTCTTGGTTGCGGATGAGTGGGCTAGCAGGGGGTCGTCGGTGACAGTTCTGCGTGGGCTTAGGTAAACTCGGACAAACTGAGTTCGCCCCAAGTTCCCCCGCACATCATACTCCCCAAGCCGACAACTTGTGTCTATAGACATAGCCAGGGCTTGAAAAATCCACTCGTCTGTGACGAGGATGGTGGAGCCCGACGTGTAATCACACGGCCGTCCGGGAGCTTTACAGTCAAGCGATCGGGCGTCTCTAGAGACGCTCGATCGCTTGTTTTAGCAGCTGTCACTGCCGTGTTCGGTCCTGAGATCCGCCGTGCCGGATGCGGCCGGGACTGGCACGGCTCTGTGACAGGAGATCAAAGGGAGTTCAGTATACGAACTCCCTTTGATCTACTCTCCAGTCCCCGAATGCAGGAAGTGATGTATATTACATCACTTCCTGCATTCAGTATCACTCTCCAGCTACAGAAGCTGATGAAGCCGATCTCTGCTTCATCAGCTTCTCTGGGGGTCCCTATGTGACATTAGGGGTCTTGGAGACCCCTGATGTCTCCATAAAGAGGACCTGTCATGTTAATTGGCTATCACATAGGGGGCTTCTTAGCCCCCCATGTAATAGCAATAAAGTTGTTTGTAAAAAAAAAAAAAAAAAGTAATACAAAAATAAAAAAATCATAAAAAAAAATAAAGAAGCATTAAAAAGAAAAAACATTTTTTAAGTCCCCTCCCCCCACATACACACGAATATATGCGTCGGGTGCGTCTACGCACGAAAACGACGATTGCGCCTATTGTGCCGCACATGTTACATATCGCCGCAAACGTCAGAGAGCAATAATTTTAGAGCCATTAATCACGGATAACACTAAACTGATGAGCATTAAAAGCGTTTTAATCGTTGCCTATGGGCATTTTTTGCGATTTTTGCGGGCGCACGCAATTTTAAGGCTTGACTTGTTCGGTGTCTATTTACGCGACATGACCCCTACTTTTATGTTTTACTAAAAATATGGGTAAGAATAAATGTTTTATAACATAACGTAGGGAAACTTTTTTTTTTTTTACATTTATGGTACTTTTTTAATTATATAGTAAAAAAAAAAACACCCCGTGGTGATTATATACCTCCAAAATAAAGCTCTATCTGGCCCCATAAAATTTTAACATAAATTGCAAGGCTATAGTCCGCTCATGCTGACTGGTGAAATTTTTGACTGACTGGTGAGACACCATCAAATTTTTCAAGCCCTGGACAAAGCCCTCTTAAATTTGAGAAGATCTCACACGAGTGGTTAAACCAACCCCCCCTCCCCCTGCCGCTCCATGCACCCTCTGCCCAATTATGAGCACACTCTTTGGTGTCCCTGGTCTTTGGGATTGACAACCAATTTGCATCTGACCACTCACCTCCCCCCCTTCATACTGTGCTAATTACAGTATATAGTACATTGTACTTTTGAGGACATTTATTTTTTGACTTCTTGTTTTTTTTTTGTTGCATGAATCTCTGAAAACTGGAGGAACTTTGTTCTACAATAAAGAATCTCTTGATGGGGTGGAAAACAAGGGGCTTTTACTGCTTGTTCAGAATATGTGAATAGTTCAGTGTGCCTAGTCTGGACACAGGTTCACTATAACATCTTCAAAACGGAGCTTGAGGATTCCTTTCAAAAGATGTTTTAAAAGTGGGCAGAAAGCTTTGCAAATGCTGCGTTATATCTTGCGGTGTGTTCTTATATAAGCTGGAGCTCGTGTGTATGTGGAAGCCAGAAGCTCTGATCTGCGCATGTATTGCACGTCAGTGACTTGACTAAATCCCAAAAAAATCCATGTTATTCTCATGACAGGTTACCCTTGGTGTAGAAATATTGCATTAAGACACGGGGCTGATTTTCAAGCCATTCGCATAGCTCTTCGCTGTGTGAACACGATTTTCTGCACTGTATGGCCACTAGATGGAGCCAAGGAGCATAGGAAAATCCTACACTCCTCGGCTCCATCTAGTGGCCATACAGGACTATGAATATTGTTCACGCAGCGAAGAGCTGTATGAACTGTTTCTAAATCTATTATTTTTATCTGTGTGATTTTCACCTTTTTTTTTTCTTTTTCATTATTGTTTGTAACGAGTATCACTTTGAAGGCCTGCAGTGTTTCTGTTGTTCAATCTATTTTAATCTCTTTTCAGGCAACAATTGGTATTGACTTCTTATCAAAAACAATGTACTTAGAAGACCGAACAGTGAGTATTTTATTGACCAGCTCATCTCTCAGCTCTAGAGTGCTTCAGGTTTCCAGATGTTCATGACAGACCTGAAGATTTATGACATTGCAGTACTAAGGAAGCATTATGGTTTGTGCCGCGTGCAGAATGGCCCTGATAAATCAAGCTGCAGTGGCACTTAAAGTTGACTCCCTCCTACACCCCCTCCCCCCCACCAATGCCTCATCAATTTGTAGCTTCATTTGTAATATAAAATGTCTCCATTGTGTATTGAGGATCACAGCTCCTATCCATTAGACATGTTGGTTTATATCGCCCATTGCAAGTGGTGATAACCCAAAGGTCCAAAGGATAAGAGTCGTGTCCATTAATGAATGATGGAGATCAGTTTTTTCTTTCTTGTCCATTGAGGGACACAGGAATTCAGAAACAGTCAGGTTATACTGCTGGCATACTATATACTATACTGGCAAACAGAAAAAATGTAAGCCAGCCCCCATATAACCCCCTCAGCTACCCAGCAGGCCTTAATTTTTTTTGCTAGTGTCGTAGGTGGTTGGGCACCATAACTTAAGTCTATCTATACTTTGCTAGCCTTCGATCCTTGGGGACTTCATGAAAATGTTTGCAACATCGCTGCTTGAGCTTATCTCTAGCTAGCAGTTGTCCAGATCAGCAGCTCCTCAGCACTAGCTTTGGAAGCCATACCTGGACCCCACTAGACTACATTGCTGCTTGAGCTTCTCTCTACCTAGCAGTTGTCCGGATTAGCACCACCTCCGTACTAGCTTTGGAGGTCATACCTGGACCCCACTGGACTACCACGCTGCTTGAGCTTTATCTCTACCTAGCAGTTGTCCGGATCAGTAGCTCCCCCCCCCCATAATATCCTGATGAGGTGGCAGCTGACCCTGCTCTGATTATAGGGTGGGGCTAATGATGTAGACAAGAGGGGCGGCAACAAGACCGGAATGAAGAGTGGCTTCAGCGGACCAGTCTTCAGGACCATCGAGGGGGATGATCTTGGAAGAGACCATTAAGGTAAGTAATAGCGGGCTTCGGAACACTTTATTTTAAACATGCTACAGATTGATGGGGACTGGGTCGGTCCAAAGTGGGTCAATCCAGAACCTTTTTTCTATTCTTGTTCTTTGAGGTGGTAAAAATGTTTAGGGTATTCTTACAGGATGGTAAAATGACATTCAATAATATTATAGCCACCAAGGATGCACTGATACCGATACTAGTATCAATGCTGAGTATTTGGGGGAGTACTCGTACTCGCCCAAATGCTCCGATGCCTAGCCAGGTACTTCCGGGTATCAGGAAGCCGGGCAGCACGCCATTACACGCTGCCCGGCTTCCTGATTGGTCGGGAGGGCGGGCGCCATGTAATGATGCGGCATCTGGCTTCCTGATTGGTCGGGAAGCCGGCTTCATGCTCCCTCGTCATCCCTAGTAGCCACCTTTGCATGCCCTAAAGTTAGAGAAAAACCCGAGCTCTAAAATCTCACAATCTTTAACATCTTCCATTAAAAATCATTCCTGGTGGTCCTGCCATAAAGGGCCTTGTTCAGGCACTTCCTGTTATGAGGCGACAACTTTGAGTCCTGGGCCTCCCAGTTGCCCTCCTGCATTAATCATCCTGTCCAATGCACTTCCAGTGGTCATTGTGCCCAGGTACACTTCACTGTCACCATCAGGGGCAACTTCTTGGAGCCACCACTTGGGCAGATGTATCCAGACAGGAAGTGGAAGCACAGAGGTGCAAATTGTAGGGGGGGGGGGGAAGCAAAATGAAAATTCTAAAAGACTTTGAGGGGAATTTATCAAAACTGGAGCAGACAAAATCTGGAGCAGCTGTGCACGGCAACCAATCGGCTTCTCTCCTTCATTTTTAAATCTTGACTGAACAAACTAAAAAGAGAGATGCTGATTGGATGCCACACACAGCTGCTCCAGATTTGATATATTCCCCCCTTTATGCTTCCAAGGTCACTTTTTCGCCTGGCTCTTTTAATATATCCAAGCAAATTTGCATATATAACTGTTCATTTTTTTTCCTTGCTCCTGCTGCCCACTGAGAGGTATGTTGAAATCTGCAAGTTTCTGCTATCGCAGCTCGACTTTGTGATGCCAACGAAAATGATCTCCCTCCGTGTGAGAGGACATCCATCTGCACCTTCTGCCTATCCCCCGTTTTTTTATATGTATAAGCAGTGGGGATTAGTGCAGCTGAAGGGCAGGGCAGGCAGGCAACCTCAGCACCCCAACTGCGCTAAAACTATGAATCCCATCATTCCTCTGGGATCTGTGGCTGTTGGAGTTTTGCAATGCCTTATGGTACTTATAGTTCCACAACAGCTTGAGTGCCAAAGTAGCCCCCCCCCCTTCCTCTACAGAATGGATGACTTGCTGTCTCCTCCCATAAGGTTTTCTTTGCAGCTGGCTGTAGAAGTGCCGCACAGTGCTGGATGTTTACACCTCACCCTAAAGGAGTCATTCATGCAGCGTGGCACAGGGGCAAAAGGACTAAAGGCTGAAGGTCATGCACCACCGCTGCTGATTACACATAGTTGATGTTTACATCTTACCCTAAGGCCTCATTCACACGAGAAAAGGCCGGCACATACAGCTCCGTGGTGCGTGCACGGCCGTATCGGGCAGCTCCCGGGAAGGACCGGTGCAACGTGCGATTAGTACGCAGCCTCCCTCCTTCTCTATGGGAGTACACAGCCGTACGCCGCCCTGCACATCCGCGCGAGTGTCCGTACTCATACGCTGACCGGATGGATTCTGTCTGCGTCCGAGCCGGGACACAAGCACCCATACGGACCTGAACTTGGGGTGAGCGTAGGGCGGCGTATGGCCGCCCACTCCCATAGAGAAGGATGGGGGCTGCGTAATCACACGCAGCACCTGTCCTTCCCGGGAGCTGCACGATAGGCCGTGCACGCAGCACGGAGATGTACCTGTCGGCTTTTTCCTCGTGTGAATGAGGCCTAAAGCTGTCATTCGCGTAGGGTTGCACAGGTTGCACAAGATTAAAGGCTGAGGTTATGCACCACTGCTGCTGATTTCACATAGTTGATGTTTACATCTCCGCCTGAATTAGTCATTAAAGGAGAACTATGGGGTTAAGGCTTTTCCCCATAGTTCTCAGGGTAACGGGAGGACACAAACTAGCATCCTCTCGTCACCTTAAGCTCAGTATACCGCGAGCTGCAGCTCACGATATACTGAGACGCCGCAGCTGAAGCAGATTCCGACAATTATTCCGGGATCCGCCCAGCTGCGTGACTGCCAGCTGGCTCTGCCTATCTAGAGGCAGAGCCAGCTATACCCTCCCCGCCCCCGCCAGTCTGGAGGATCGGAGCGGGGAGGCGGGAATCCAGCCCCTCCCCTGTCATGGCAGAGAGCCGTGACATTATCGAGAGGTGAGCGAACGCCGGTATGTGTTCGCTCACTTCCCGATCTACTGAGCCGACCTGTGACCAATGAGACTATTATGAGGTGAGTGAAAAGCACTCGCCTCATAGTTCTCCTTTAACGCAGATTGGCCACAATCATTCTGCGCCCACATCACCCTGCATAAATAACTAATTTGGGGGAGATGTAAACATACACCACGTGTAACGAGCAGCAGTGGTGCATAACCTCAGCCTTTAGTCATTCTGCACCTGCACCACCCTACGTGAATGACACCTTTAGCGTGAGATGTAAACATCAACCACGTGTAATCAGCAGCGGTGTTGCATGACCTCGGCTTGGCGCAAATGCAAAATGACTTCGGCCTTCACTTGTTTGCAGTGACTGAAGGCCAAGGTTATTCTGCGCCTGCATATGCATTGTTTACATCCCTGCCCTGAATTCACTATGCAGCGGCGGGGCACTCCATTGATTTATGCAGATCCGTGTGAATGGCACATAGGATACAATACTGTTGCGTTCAAATTAGGGATGCACCGATATATCGGCCGCCAAAACATATTGGCCGAAAATTGCACTTTTGGCATAATGCCAAAAGTGCCATTTTCCTGCCGATATAGCGGCGCATCCATGCTTCCTCTCTTCCCCGCTGGGCGCTGCTCTGTGTCCCAGCGGGGAGGATAGAAACTGTCACAGCCGGCCGAGCGCTGCGGGAGGAGATCGCTGTGAGTGGCCGCACCACTCAGCCGCCTATCACAGTCCAGCAGAGCGGTGTGGGGACGGAGACAGCCAGCGCTGTCACAGGAGGCGGAGCTCTCCTCCCCGCACCGCTCGCTCAGCCTCCTGTGACAGCGTGGAAGGAGAGCGGGTACATGCAGTAGATAATTGAGTACAGAGTACGGTTACTATATCCTCAATTATGAATGAATGGGAAGCGATCTACATCCCCTCCTGTTCATTCATAGTTGTGGTTATAGTAATCATACTCTGTCCTCATGTTATGAATGAACAGGAACACTCATAGAGGATTCCTGATCATTGAACAGGGGATAAAGAAAAAGAGATTGGCACATAGGGATAAGCCTCCTGGAGAATATTGATAGGCTATTGACACAGGTCACTTTTGTGTCCTCAATCTCTATTTCTATTGTAAAAGGGAGACCTGTTTAGACCCCTAATATTTCCCCAAAGCCCCTAAAAGTAAAGTCAAAAATAAAATATTTAATAAAAAATTAATAAAAAATAAATATGCAAAAATTAAAAAGTTTATAAAAAATAAAAATAAAAATTGAAAAAATTAAAATAAACATTTTCGGTTTCCGCCCAACATTTTTTTCTATTTCGGTTTTAGACTTTCCATTTCGGTGCACCTCTAGTTCAGATCCTTGTAAATTGCACATCTGCAAGCACCTTATTGCACATCCGTGTGCATGAGCCCCAATTGAGACATGCAAGCCGCTGCCCATGGTTCAGCCAGTTATAGGGACACATTAATAGTTTTTTTTTGTTGCAGCATCTCGGGGTTTGCTGATGCCGTCTGTCGTGCCTGTTGCCCCCTTTTTCGTCCTTTTTTTTCCCCGTGTTTGATTGTCTTCCATCCCGCAGATCAGATTGCAGCTCTGGGACACGGCGGGGCAGGGACGATTCCGCAGCCTCATCC